AGCTAACATGGGGTTAGCTCATTAAATTACAATAAAGCCTCGTGCAGTTTGCAGCAAGCTCTCGAATCCGCCTGGTGATTGGGGTGACCGAGAACGTGGCCTGGGACCCCGGATACTTGAGTTTTCGGGGGTCTAACAGTGTTGAGCATCTCCTTGTTTCCTCCATAAGTTAGGCTTCTGTCTTTGTCTGTCCTATGGCTCTATTTTCTCAGCTCTTATGTTTATATCACGTGTGTTGTATTTTCTCATGAAGGTTTAGCAAATGACTAGCAGCAATTGATGATGAGAGAATTATGGGAATTTAGGCTTTGATCCTCTGCTTGTTCTTATTCCTATAAGGTTAACTAAAAATCTTGCAATTAACATTGTTTAATGCTATAGTTCACAATAAGAGGTGGTTTAGAATGAAATTAAAAGACAATAATGAAGAAGAAAAGAAACAGGTTGGCTGATGAGTCCCCCTTTCTTTGAGGCTGCCAGTCAGCTCCCAAATCATGACACGGAGACTTAATACTAGTTATGAATGCTAGGCCTTATCTTATGCTTGTCCCACTAGCTCTTATAACTTAAATTAACCTGTTTCTCTTCATCTACATTTTGCCCCGGAGCTTTTTACCTTCCTTCCATTATGTATATACTATTTTTCTGCTTTCCTTTGTGTCTGGCTGGCTGGCAACTGCCTGGATAACTGGCCCTGGGTGTCTCCCATTTTTTCTCCCTTATTCTTTCTCTCTCCTCATTCTCTCTCAAGCCTATATTCCTCCTTCTACTCATTCTCTCTGTCCCAAAGCACTGCATATCCCTCTACTGCCTATCTATTGTCATTCAGCTTTTTATTAGACCAATCAGGTGCCTTAGGCAGGCAAAGTGAAACAACAAAGCATCTTTACATAGTTAAACAAATACAGCATATACAAAAGCAACACATCTTTACACAATTAGACAAATGCAGCATAAAGAAATGTAACACAACTTTACATAGTTAAGTAATATATCACAACATCCCTCCACATGCCATGGAAGAACTTGGAAAATTCAGATTCACATCCAAATTGATGGAACTTTAATCTTGGTCAAGGGGAAGTGTACTGAATGGTTAGACCTCTGAACAGACTATATTATGCAGCCATGATGACCTGTATTGATTGCCTGAAGTGGGTCTTCAGTATGCTCCACAGCATACAACTATAGTAACTACTTAGGGCGGTGGGGGTGGGGGTGGGGGAGGGTTTCCAAACCTTGACACCCAGAGAACCAAAAAATCATACATTCCTTCACAGGCACTTAAAAACAAATCCCACACCAGGGCTTCCTCACATTCCGTCAAGAGGAATGACGGACATCAACCCTAGAAGTTACCCAGGCAGCAGAGAGTCTGTGAGGTCGACACATTGAACCTCTCACCTCATTAGCAGTTGCAACTTGTTTATAATCTCCTCCTTTCACCCCCCTGAATCAATGGAGCAGGCCAAGAATGGTCGCAGATAATCAAATAAATCCTGTTGGACTTGGGGATCTTCATCAACTGCTTCAACCCTCTCATTTTACAAGGAGACAGCTAGGACCCTGAGGTACTCAAAGTAATGTGCACATATGTGCCTGCTTAATATTTACAGCTTTTTACCTCAGGCTGAAGTTGGAGATAAAGAATCCTCAGAGACATACGAATCCTAAAATTCTCATGCTATGAAGGGAACTTTGGGTCTCTTGATAGGTCTTGTCTTATATCTCAGAGGGAAATAATTTTAAAGGATGTTCCAAAATTAATTGCTTATCTTATAAAGTTGGGCTCGAAGTTAAAATCCTATCAGTACTACATCTGGAAAAGATAAAGAGATTGATTAACACTTACAGAGGGCTGTACTGTAAATGAGAAGTGTTTCAATTTTACCAGTGTGCATTGTTCTACAATGACTGTTGGAAAATTACCTTCTTTCATCAACACGGTTCACAGAAGCAGATACCCACTTTATGGTCCTTTAGAATATGTCAGGTAGGAAATGGATTCATTTGAAATCTACAGGAGAAAATATCTACTAAGCCATATGTATTTTTCTTACATGTAGTTGCTCTGACGTCAACCATGTGGAAATGCACTAAGAATCTCTTAAAAAGTAAAACTGGATAGGGCATACCCAGCTCATATGAAGAGTCAAGTCTGACAAAGATTCAGCCACATGAAACACGGTGGTGACTGAAAGGTGCCAAGGCTGTGAACAGAAAATATTCTCTGCAATTACTGTTATGACTTTCTTATTCTTTTTTTTTCCCTCCAGGTAAGAATGAGTAGCTCCTGCCTCTTGAAAGAAATCTAGGCCAGGTCTTATGACTTTCCTGGTAAGTCATATATCATGTTCTCTGGTCAGCCCTTTGTCTATTGACAAAGAGCCTTGTTTCAGTAATTTATCTATCCAAATTTCATATTTCATCTAAAGCTGGAGTTTGGGAACTCCAGCTACACTTTACTCCAGAGGCATGAGCAGTGCCTCCATTTCCGTGCTTCCCTTTACCCATTTACCATGCTGCTTTTGGTTTCTCCAAGGCCAGACCCTCATGCAAGGTGATGGTGAAGGGTGGAGTGTCACAAGGCAGGAGGGACTTGGCTGGCACTTGAGTAGCCTTACACTGGCTTCCTTGCACAGGGGCAGGGGTTTGGCTGGTGGAATCTCACTCAGGTTGTATGTAGGTGCCTGGTAGCAACGCAAGGCAACCTCTTCCAGTATGAGTGGCACATTTTCTTTTGGATAGATATTTGTAATGCTGTATCCTCAACCTCATATCCTGCCAAATGGTGGGCCCATAACCCAACTAGAGTAACCACCACTCAACTGTGTTTTTTGGGGGTGGGGTGGGGCATAGTTTTAAAGTTCTCCCTCTTTCCTTTCCTCCTCTTTCTCCTTTTTTTTTTTTTAATTGTTATAGCGTCCCCAAATGTTCATGTGTTAAAGACTTGATCACAAATGCAATGTTCAGAGGTGGGGTTTTGAGGAAGTGATGGGGTCAATGATTGGTCTGCTGAGAGATTTACAATTTGATGGCATCATTAGAAAGTGGTAGAAAGTAGGAGATGGGGCCTACTCAAAAGAAGTATATATTTTTAGGCTGTACCTTTAGAGAGTGTATTTTGTTCCCATACCCTTCTTGTCTCTTTGTAATGATAAGGTGAGCGGTTTAGTGCTGCCATGCCCCTCAGTCATGGTATTCTCCCTCACTATGGCTGAAAACAGCAGAGTCAGCTGACTGAGCTGTAACCTGTGACACTGTGAGCCAAAACAAATTACTCCACATATTTTTCCAAGTATTTGTCATTGATGGAGCTAAGTATTGGACCTGATGAGATAGTTCAGTGTGCTTGGTGTGTAATTGTGAGGACATGAGTCTCAATCCCTAACACCCCACCAAAAGGTCAAGTTGGTGACATGTGCCTGTAATCTCAGCACCAGGAGGAGGGAGGGGGAGGAGGGAGGATGAAGTAGGGAGAAAGAGGGAGAAGGTAAAGGCACTTACTTGCCTACAACTAGAGTTTGCTCTCAGGGACCCACATAGTAGAGGAGTTAACTGAGTATGTCTCCTGATCCTCACATATGCACTATGGATAAATAATTTTTTTAAGTAAACAAAGTGGACAGCAATAGAGGAAAATACCAGATTTTGACTTCTGGTCTCTACATGTATACATTAGGTCAAGAAGGAATAAGCCATATGAACGACCCATTTGAACTACAAGGCCTTTTGTCTAGCTAGAGGAATGCAAGGGAAGGTTGGAACAGAGCATCCAATCACCATGAAGGGCATTTGTGTCTCCTGGTTTGTTGTCAACAGCATTAAGACTTTGAAAAAACTGAGGCTGAGAAATGAGGGTTTCAACTAAGACGCACTGAACAGACTAGAGAAGAACATTAAGTTCCCACCACGTAGCCCATGCAAAATGATTCTCATGCTATGAGCCGATGAACTCAGGTGCAGGAGATGATTCCCTGTGGAGTGAACAAACAACAGGACAGGGAGCTAAGGGGAGGCCCTGGTTTGGGGGCAAAACAAGAGGAAAAGTGCAAGCAGGGCTACCAGAGGTCCCTTCTGCCACAGCATCTCACCTCTACAGTCATTCATTCATCTCTGAAAGGTGATAGGAGAACTCTGGATGCTTTCTCCACCCTCCTCCCCATGGGAAGACCAGTGATAGTAGCATCATTTATTACAGAAAAGATGATGGAATTTGTTTGACTGCCAGTTTTCCTAAAGTATATCTGTTATGTGAAGCGAGAAAGTTTGAAATTTGTAATGATAAATACTATTTTCTAAGACACATAATGATTTAATGTTGCAGACCACCTCTGAAATATCCCCAAAGACGCCAATATTTATGCAGAGTAGGAATGAGGTCTGGGCAGGAATCTTATATCTTCTCTTCCTCATGTTCTCTTCATGGAAATTGACACTATTATCTTCAGGTAAATGAACCTTACATCATTATATATTTGTATAATTATTTCCAATCATTCACTTTAAATATTACTTTGCTCTATTTCTTTCCGTTTAAAGTATTTTGAGATTTTAACATCAGAATTCCAGGATCGGATATGTGAATGATAGATATGGGTTTTCTATCAATTTTGATCTTAATTGTGGGCCACTAGAAGAAATTTTGAGTGTACATGTTCCTATGAATGCACATGTGCACATATGTACATGTATGTAGAGGCTGAGGGTCAATATCACTTGTCTTCTTCAATCACTTCTTCACCTTAGTTTTAGAGACAAGGTATCTCACTGAACCTGGAGGCCACCATTTTGGCTAGACTAGCTAATGAACAAATCCCAGAGATCTTCGTTTTTCTGCCTCCTCAGCACAGGGATTACAGGCATGCAACACCATTCCAGGCTTTTACATGAATGCTGGAAATCCAAATTTGAGCGTGTGTGGTTATGTGGCAAGTCCTTTACTGGCAGAACCATCCCCTAGCCCCTGAAAGATAGTTTGACTTCTTCCATTAAAAGAATGTGGGTTGTTTTACGACTGAGGGAGCAAAAGCCTGTTTCTGTACTTCCCTTTTTGGTAAAGGTACTACAAGTTCATAAAGATTTTAGAAGGTCCTATTAATTCAGACCCTTGAAAATGCCCTCGCTGGCTCACCCACACCTCCGCTAACTGGGTTGTCACTATTCTGTCACCCTGGTGAGGTACAGGGCCTGTTCTCCCAAGTGTTGCAGCTGGTGGGGGTTAGAGACAGCTCTATTATTCTTATGAAATGTCCCCATTACTCATCTGTCTTGGGGTGGCATGGATGGAGGAGAGATGCCCCTACCCCCATCAACACCTGAGACAGGTTAAGGAGCTGGCCATGGGGCCATAAAAGCAGGAGGGCTATCCCAGTCCTTCTCCAGCTGCAGCACTTGGGAGAGTGGGCCCTGTACCTCAGCAGGGCAATACAGTAGAACTGGCCCTGATGGTGTAAGGGTGGGAGAGCCAACTCTGGGGGCAGGAAAGCAGGAGAATTCCCTCCCATTGCTGAGAGAGGTGAATTAACTATGGAGTTCACCTTTGTGGTGAGTACAGGGGATAACTGGACATTGAACCAACCCTGCAGCTGCTCAGGCCTAGAACCAAGGTTATGACTGATCATTCTATGAATGGCTTTAGCACTGGTCATCCATGAATGGCTTTAGCACTGGTCATCCTATGAATGGCTTTAGCCATCACAAGCATGAGCAACACTGAATAGGCAACATGCTATGAACTTGGCATTCTCTTTTCTGTTCACTGTATCTTAGGAGAAACTCTCATTTCTACCCTCAGTAATGTCAAACCCTTCTGATGAATCTTAATACTGTGACTCTTATGGAACCTGCCACTCAGAAATCCTGCAAGATGAGATGGGAGCCTAGATGCTTACACTGTCATCTGCCCTTCCTTTGGATCTCTGTTGGTGTACTTCATTAGCTGAATCTCACTGAAAACCAAGGCCAAGGGAGCTCTGTCATCCTGAGGAGACTTGGAGGAGGGTGTGTGTGTGTGTGTGTGTGTGTGTGTGTGTGTGTGTGTAATTAAAATGCATTGCCTACATATATGAAAATTTCAAAGAATAGTGGCATTTAAAGAAAAAGAAAAAGAAATCACCCAGTGTTATTGTCTACCTCAAGAATTGCTTCCTAAATACACACTGGTTTAGGATCTGAGCCTCTGGAATAACAGAAATGTGTGTGAGTTCACCACTATTTCCAGTTTATCATAAGAAATCTCAAGTGTGGTTCCTTTGCTTTCATTTGGAATGATCAGAAAGTTGTGGTAGCACCCACGATCTGATCAGAAGTCATGATTAATAATAACTTTCCTCACTCATTTTCCACTTAAATGTTTTAATGGGACTTTAAAGACATAACTTAAGATCCAAATTAGCTTGAATATATAAGAGGTTCCTGAATTACAGGGGTACTTGTAGGAAGTAGTAGATTAGACAATGTAGTGTGATGGGACTGACTCAAGCTAAATTCACACCGTGACTGTTATGGGCTGATTAATTCATAAACACAGGTAATAATTCCCACTGGAGAGAAAAGCAAATGAAGGAGCTTAAGCAGGTACTAGTTTTAGGGAGAAGATAGAAGAAAAATGATAGGACTGCAAGAGATCCCTTCTATCACAGGGTCTTGTTTCGATGCTCACTTATCTATCATCACATAGATGAATTCATATACAATATGAATATGAGCCAAAAAGCCAAGAAACCATTTCATTAAGTTGATAACAGCTGGAAAGATACCAGCCTCAGATATGAATATGCATAGACCGAGTTCCCTTTCTACTTCTTGGCTTCATGCTTTCCTCTTTGTCTCCATCTAGCTCTTCATCCTGCAGGTCAAGTCAGAGCTTTTACTCAGCTTTCTTCCTGGCTGAAAATCACCAAAGCAATCAAGTAGCATTGTCCAATTGATGAATAAACAACTGGCATCCATGGAAGAATCCAGTAGAGAAACAATGCTCGCCCTGGACTGACAGAAAACCTGAGGAATTGATGAACTAGCAAGCCCAGGTGCTCAGAACAAAATTTCATTGATGCTACCAGAGATCATGCTTGATAGGCTACCAACGAGTGAAAGATTTCCACATCTGTGGGAGGAAGATGTCTTCAGCATTGTTTTTTAAAATACATGGACATTTGGGAAATGAGAATGTAAAGCCTCTTCATGTTTCCAGTCTGGAAAACTATGTGCAAATAGTGGACACATTTGTCCCATATATCTTCTCAGTCTGAAATGATAAATATGCAAATACTATTCTATGGTATGGCCTGAGTGCAACTCAAAGTCATGCAGATGCTTACATTGTTGCATCTACAGATTTTATTAGGCTGACATACTTTGCTACTGTTTTGGCCATTGCTTTTCTTTTATAAATTTGTGACTTAAAAATCAACCCCAATTCTAGGACAAAAATCTTCCTAACAAGTGTTAGGCTGCCAATTGTAATCTCTTCAGTCAGCAAGAAACCTTCCCCTACAGATGGAAAATGAGTTGTAATTGATGAATTTTGAGAAACTACTTCTTGTTTTTTTTTTTTTTAACTAAGTTCTATTATTACAGTTTTACAAATCAGAAAAAAAACCAGACATGAAAATGTTATAATTTGCATTATCTTGGTGAGATTATGAAAATACTCCAGAGTATTGGAAAAACTGTTTCCTAATAAGGAAAGCAGATAACCATCTTAACATAATGTCAACACTTTTTATTCATTGAGTTTAGAAGTCTGCTAAACCGAAAAAAATAAAAGTTAATTTGGGTATCACATAATATTTTGGACAAAGTTGTTCTTAAATGAAAGTGTTTTGTCTTCCCATTAGATAGAAGTGAGCCTTTGTTTCCTGCTAAGGGAAAACAGCATAAAACTTGTAAGATGTGCAATAGAATCCTAACAAGTGGCACTGCTGTAAGTGTGACCATAAAGCAGTTATAGCTCTCTATAATCACACTGTAGTCATAGTAAGTCACAGTGGATTACTTAAAAGTATTAAATCACAAAGCACAGAAGCCCAAGTGGAATCTATGACTTGAAGAAGCATGGTGTTGTGGACTTTTCCAGGGGAGAGGCAAACACATATCTACTCACCCCAGTTAGGGCACTAATGACAGATCAAAGAAACAATTCCACTAAATCCTAACTTCGTGAGTCAACAAGTTTATTGAGGTTAATTACAAGATAAGCTATACTACAAAAAAAGCTTTCAGGCAAATTGACAGGTTGTAGAGTAACCTCACTCTAGCAGTCCTTAGGACTTAGCTTTCGACCCCACCTGGGGGAGGGACATTTTTGATTCTTGTAAATTTCAGGACTTTTGAGACTTGTGAGTTGTTTACTTTCTGGGACCTGTAAATTCTACTTCCAGAGTTTTAATGAGCTTCCCTCTAAGAGAGACTGTTTCAAATTGGGAGATATTTCTATATGACACACGAACGTTCAGACAGCTCACTGGAACCATTGCATAGGTTGTCTGTCATTCCAGGAAAAGAATATAGAAAGAAAAAAAAAAGGAAATGAGCAGCAGGGAATCATGGAATTGGCTTGGTCTGACTGCCACATGTCATGATGTTTATAAGGTTTGAGCAAGTGGCTCCTGGGGCATTTTTTGTGACTTTCATTTCCTGAGAACTAGAGGCACTCCCTCAGACAGTGAAGCATACAGCAGGCCACCTATGTGTCTCTCTGTGTTCCTTCGAGGTCAGCAAAGCATATAGAACTTGGCTGAACAATTAAGTGTTAGACATTAATCTTGCATACCCTGTCTAGCTTGCAACCAACATTATATCATAGCAATTGTCATTATTTTCTGCTTTGATAAGTGTATAAAGTGTCTTGAAATAAACTTATCTCAGTCTGTCTTGCTGATATCCCTCCAACTGGCCTAATTCATTACCACAGACCACGTCAGGAGACCCTGGTTCAGTAAGCAAGCAATCAGCGCCAGCACTTATAGCTTAGTATCTTGGCTGATGATGCAAACGAAAAAAAAAAAATTAGGGAACCCAATGTTGGGGCAGCATGGGTTGTTTCTCTCCTTACTTGAAAACTAGGAGCATCTTCTCTGCACCTGGATATGTGACAGGGACTGGGATTCAGAAAAAGTAAGGTAGTTCAGGCCCAAGGAAATGACTAGGGCAAGTACACATGTGAGTAGGTTTTAGAAGAATGGGCCCATGTGAGCCAGGGTGAAACTACGGGGGAAGACTGTTTGGAGACTCTTACTGAAAAAAAGATAACACTTTGCCAGGGTATAATTAAGTGGAACATTCCAGAATAGAAACTAGAAGAATTTTTTTTTTTTTTTTGGCAGCAGAAATGCAGTTGGCTATGACAACAGCAAAAATGTACAAATGAAGGAGTCAGAAGTAGTGTTCTGAAGGGCACAGAGTGTGGACTTGGAAGGTCTGGTGCAGTTTGGGACAGAGCTTAACTTCCATAGCATAGACAGATGTGGGAAAGGTGGAGGTTTATGGGCTAGCGTGGAGATGCGCCCTCTCGTTTATCCAGGAGCATGTCTGAAGCAAAGGAAGGGTATCATCCCATCCACAATTGTCGCTCATGTTGTTAGCCAAGCAGGAGCAGATGCTGAAGGCTCTCATTGTGTGTATCACTAGTAAATTACTATGACATCATAGAATTACAATTCAGGCTCCATGACTGTGTTTGAGGCGAGACTGCTGTAAAGACACATTAAAACAAACAACAGCAAGGAAAGTGAGGCTACTGTAACAGTCCTGTCGCTCCCTGTGCCCAGTTTTATAAATTGTGTTTCCCAGGATGATTCTGGGCAAGGCACTAAGGATAATTAGGCCACGGTGGTTACTTTTCCCAACACCTCATGGTGTGACTCCAGAATCTCAGCCTAATGCTGTTCACCAGGCATGGACGTTCTGGCTCTCAGTTTTGTCCTGCTTCATCCAGGAACATTTACAATATTCAGGGTTTTCTTGGTGTGTGCAGCTTCACAAGAGCCTAAGATTAGAATCCCAGTAACACTACCAGACAATGTCTGGAGCCCTTATTTGGTAGAATACCTCCAGTTTGAAAAGGGAAACCCAGGCACCTGTGATATGAAGCTATTAAACAGGAAGGCTGGTTGCCTGCCTGCCTGCCTGCCTGCCTGCAGGGGTGGAGTTGGTGGAGCTGGGGGAGTCACTCCTTGGGGTGAAGTTGTTGGAGCGGCAGGGTCTCTCCTTGGGGTTGAGTTGGTGGAACTGGGGGGTTACTTCTTGGGGTCAAATTGGTGGGGCTGAGGGGGTCTGTCCTTGGGGGAGTTGGTGCAGCTGGGGGGTTACTCCTTAGGGTGGAGTTGGTGAATCTGGGGATCTCTCCTTAGCGTGGAGCTGATGCAGCTGGGGGTCTCTCAGTGGGGTCTCTCAGTGGGGTGGAGTTGGTCTCTTCTAGAGAAACCATCCACCACCAGAGTTGGTCTCTGCTAGCTTGAGCCTTAGACTTAGAGCTGTCACTTTTCAGATGCTTTTCCCCCTTTTGTAGCCTCTGGCCTGCTGTCCATCCTCTGTCTGAGTCATCTACTTCAAGCCAGGAATGTGCTGGAGAGTGCACTGAAGGCATTGCTTATGCCAGAGGCTGTGCTTTTATGCATGAAAAATAATCTGACAAAGTGTCTTGTTGAAGTATCCAGAAGAGGCTGGAATTGGATCAAGCAACAGGCAGACAGGAAGTTGGAGGCACTGTGCCACACACCTTCCAAAGCTCCAACAAAAATAGTCTCGTGGGTATGGGCATTTGGCCATCTACTTTTTCTCTTTGCTCTTTAATGATGTGAGTTGGTAGATACTATTATATTAGAATCTAGATGCTAACATGTGGTATGCACCCAGGCAAAATGAAATAGCAGGTAACTGGCTTTCTTGGAAAGATTCTAACTCCCAGGTTACTATACTCTGAAGGGTTACTTTTAAAGTTTTCTATATCTTCAAGGTAAAAACAACACTTTAAGCAGCCATGAGATTGGAAACAGTTCCATAAAAAGCTCACTTCTTTGTCTAGCATCCACGGCATCTAGCATCTAGATGGGGAAAGCCTTGCAATTCTGATGTATCATGACATTTGGGGATTTTCCAACTCTGTTTCTAAGTTTAATGACAGTACTTCTAGGAAGCACCCATCAAAGTAAAGATACTCCATGGACCACCAGCTAGGAACACAGAGTCTTTTGACCAGCAATCACAAAGACTAGTACATTTTCTGCCATAGAACTTTTCTTAATTCTAGTAATGGCCCAAGTGTACCAATTATCTAAACAAAATTGTAAAGAAACTCAAGGAGGACAATGATCTGCTTCTATCTTTTTTGGCACCAAACTTCAAAAACTTATAATCAAGGTTTCTTGGTAAACTAAGCAAAACAGTGTGGCTTTTGAAGGAGGATGCAAAGATAGTTCTATAAGTCAGGCTCTTAAGTCATTTCAGCTGTTCATCCATGTGTATTTTAAAAATAATTGGAAAATGCCTAGATTCACAAAAAGTGGAGTCACTATCCTTCAAACACAAGAGTCATGTGTGAACTCTCCCTTTAATCCAGTGACATTTTCCTGGTCACTTCCTTTGTACAGAAGATGTGCATCTTCTCTGGTTAGCTCAGTGGCTGTGGACATTGCAGCTTGGGGTGGTTTGAAAGAAAATGCCCCCAGACAGAGTGGCACAATTAGGAGGTGTGGCCCTGTTCTTTTTTTTTTTTAAGATTTTATTTATTTATTATGTATACAACATTCTGCTTCCATGTATAGCTGCACACCAGAAGAGGGCACCAGATCTCATATGGATGGTTGTGAGCCATGTGGTTGCTGGGAATTGAATTCAGGACCTCTGGAAGAGCAGTCAGTGCTCTTAACCTCTGAGCCATCTCTCCAGCCCCGGCCCTGATCTTTTTTTTTTTAAATAATTTATTATTTTTATTTTATGTGCATTGGTGTTTTGTTAGCTTGTATGTCTGTGGGGTGTCAAATCCCCTGAAACTGGAGCTCCAGACATTTGTGAACTGTCATAGACGGGAACTGGGAATTGAACTCAGGTCCTTTGGAAGAATAGCTGGTGTTCTTAACTGCTGAGCCATCTCTCCAGCCCCTGATTTCATTGTTTTTGATGCAATCGTTGGTGCTGCCAATGTAAATGCATCACATCTGAGACCCATGGCACTGTAGGCTGAAGCGGCATCTATCCCACATCTACAGTGAGCAGCTGCTGTTTACGGGGCATTGAAGAGAAAGAACTAGTGCTCAGCCAGGATTTTGAGATTCCAATTCTCTTGGTGAATATTGTATAGTTCTAGAAGCTTAGGTCTTAGAACTGGGGCAATGGCTCAGTCATTAAAGTATCCACCACATGAGCATGAAGGCCCGTTTGAATTTTTGAATTATGTTAAGAAGAAAACCCTGGGAATCAGGGTGCATGCACACCTGTAATTCCAGTGTTGGAGACAATGAGACAGGAGGATCTCTGGGGCTTGCTGGCTAGGTCAGACACTCTAGCCCAATCAGTGAGCTCCAGGTTCAGTGAGAGATGTCATCTCAAAATAAAGAGGGAAAGGAAAGAGAGAGAGATAGAGATAGAGAGAGAGGGGGGAGGGAGAGAGAGAGCATGGAGAGCATGGAGAACATGGAGAGCATGGAGAGCATGGCAAGCAATTGAAGATGTGGCATCACCTTCTATTCCTCTACACCCACTGGCACACACATGGAGGGGGGGAGGGAGAGAGAGAGAGCATGGAGAGCATGGAGAACATGGAGAACATGGAGAGCATGGAGAGCATGGAGAGCATGGAGAACATGGAGAGCACAGAAAGCAATAGAAGATGTGGCATCACCTTCTATTCCTCTACACCCACTGGCACACACATGTACAATCATGAATGCACACACAGTCATAACAAACTTAGATCTCTTTTCCTTCAGCATGTTTTCTTTCTAAGATTAAAATTTAGCGTGGTGTTTCATTGTTTTATACAAATAGTAAATAAATAAGAGAAAATAAGAATTATCTGACCACATTATTGTACTGAAGCATCTCTACATTAGTGGAATAGCATTAAACACTGACAGCAGCCAGCTGTCCCAAATGCTGAAATGTCGGTATGCAATTTGACTAAACTGTTGAATTCCAACACTATAGGGGATTAATTTGATTTAGCCTTCTGTTTTATAGAAGTTATCACAAATATGTGATGTTTGCATTTAACTCAAAGTTTTAGAGTGGAAATGCTAATGATTATAACACATGTATTAAATGGCTTTATGACATAGGCTAATTGGAAATTTTATCACATCTAGAAAACCAGACTCCTTCAGTGAAAATGGTTACTAAGGATTATTCCTCGTGTCTGTCTGTCCGTCTGTCTCTACACTCACACATGTGCATATTCATGTACACACAAATGACACTGACTCACAAATACAATTTTTCCTTGAAGGAACAAAAACAAGAAACAACCCAGAGATTAATTAAACCTGACACTTCTTAATTAAATATAATGATACATTTCACCTCACAAATAAATCATAAATTCAATGACCCTTCCAAAGTTTTTTCACTCTCCTCAGCATTCAGGCACAGTGGAGCTGAGTGTATACTCCTTGCCATTCTTTCTTCCGTTTTATTGAGCATCTACCACATTCTTACACAGCAGTGGGCTTTGGGGGATGCAACACTAGCCAGCCACCCTGTCGCACAGAGCTCAGCTGTCCGACTCACCACCAATCTGGCAACTACACTGTCCAATCAGTGTCACTGCCACTATCTCAGGAAAGTGAACCCAAGGCAGGATCTCACATTTTCCATTTCATTTTTTTTTTATTTTGGTTTTTTAAGACAGGGTTTCTCTGTGTAGCTTTGTAGACCAGGCTGGCC